ACAGCCCATTCTGTAAACAACGAACTTGACATTGTATGTCATTTCTAAAACCAGTTTTATAAATTTTCTATTTATATTTTCAGAACAAAAGAAATCATGTTTTAAATAGGAGAAAAGCCTCAAACTGTCCATTCTGTGTGAGAACGAACAAATCTCGAGCCTACGGCTTTCGATTCGTTCTTTCTCTCACAGAATGGACATTTCGATGTTTTTCTCCTTTACATAAGGAAGTATTTCCAGCTTGTATACATCCAATCAGGAGACAGAAGAGAAATAAATCTAAAATTGTACCTATCGAAAACTACAAGCAATTAATCTTACACATTTTACTAATCTGGTAAGTATTTGTAAAGTTCACATGAACCAGAAAGTTTTTTTTTCAAATCATTACTTTATGTCGAAGATTAAAGTTTACATAATCATGCCGCACATTAAATCTATAGAGAGGAGAAATATATTGGTTTTAATTGTGCATTTAACTTTTCTTACTTCTTTATCAGAGGGTAAGCTACTAAAAGATTTTGCATATATATAAATATATTATAAGATTTGTTTTTATAAAGCAACGTTTTATACGCCAAAGTCATTATATATTTTTTTCTCAAAAGATTTACATTATTGGTATGTAATATAAGAAATTAAAAGCCACTGAAATATCAATAAAATCTTTATTTCAAGTTTAATTCCATTGAAGGTCAAAGCAAAATATCAAAGTATTTATGACAATTAATAAATAGTAACTAGATTAAGCTATAGTACATTTTTGTCAGGAAGGGGTGATAGAGGGTAGGGTGAAACAGGATCTTCAAGACACTTTTATCTGAAATCTCGAAGATGTAATCGTTCATCGTTTAACGATAATATTTGCGACAAGTAAACAAAAAATAACCCTTGATACTCACGTATCAGATTACTTTCTTGTACTTATCTCGTTTGGCTTTCCTATTTCATCACTATTTCAATACTACGTTGTATTAAGAACTTTATTTACACAGTCGCGTATGAAATTTATTTCTGAAATATATACAGCTATCCCCTGGTTGGGACTCTAATAAAAAATTAAAACAAATTTTAATGCAGTCTTCTGGAATGAAAATGTTAGAAATTTGCACAGATATACTTAACAAAATATTTATTATAGAATTACATGTATACTATATGATTGAATTTTTTCTTCAAAAACAGAATAAGTTTTTCAAATGGTTCATTTGTTGACTATTGTGAGGAAGAATGATTTCTATCATGAATGATTAATTTATAATTCAATTTTCTTTTTCTTGTAAGCCTCCCTTATTCCTTTCCTTGTCCCTCGATGTACTTCTCTGTGTAAACACAAATATTTAAATGTAAGCAGTGAATTTGTTCCTTAGAGTTATTTCCTGCCCTGTCCCATCGTTTCTCTTAATTACAGAAGAAATATTGTAACTGGTTCAAAGGAAACTGCAACCCAATGAAAACCGTTTCCTCGTGATTTTCCATCACACGGCAGTTTTTTTTAAAGAGCTAGGTTTACGTTATACTAACCATATCTAAATTACCCTTTAGTTATACTCTATAACATTGTGCTTTTTTACAAAGATTCTTTTATAGAATAAAATAAAGCTATACGATGGTCTCCCCTATTATACGTCAAAATAATTTTAATGAATATTAAACGTATGAGCGTACTCCTTGATCCAAAAATAAAAATCCTTATCATTAAATAATTGCATGTTTAAGATAGGTACCGTGCTCTACACAAAATAGTTTAAAAAAATTAAATATAGCCATTCTAACAGAATTTTCACTATATGGGGAAAATAACGCATTTCATGAAGTCAAAATACCTTGATCAGCCAGATAGTAACGCTTTATTTTTTTTTTTATAAATATACAGGCAACAAGGGTCTAACAGATATTTACAAATTCATTGTCACTTATACTTTTTCAGAAATTCACAAGACCAAAAAGACCCTTAGTGAACCTTGTTCTTTTATTTTGTTTTTAGCCTCTATAAATCTGACAGTCTCTCCCTTTGGACCTGTGGAGGTGGATCAGAACGTCACAATTCAGTGTAACTTTAAGAACTTTCTAATATCTGCATTTTTTTACTCTACTGTAAGCAATGACATTTTCTGTGATCTTACGTCAGAATTCTCAGGATCTAAATGTAGACAATCCGTTTGTTCTTTAAATTACACGGCTATTTGTTCTAACTATAGAACGTACAGTGTAGTGTATCCTGTTCCGCTTAGTTGGAATGGAGAAGGAGTTTATTGCAAGGGTTTATTATCAGGAGATGAGAGAAGTAATCAAGTCAGCTTCAGTGTTATAGGTTTGTAATATCTAACTTTTAGTTTTCCTCTTATTTATTTCAAACAAACTACATATGCTTGCAGTTGTGAACGAGTACAGCATTTGAATTGACTTTCTGTGTACATTCGAATTGCTTTAATACACGTTTATACAACAGAAGTGAAATAATGTATCATTATTTTACTCATGAAAATGTTCTTAATAATTTTTTGCCTGCTCTACAAATATAAACAAGTAAAATATATTTGGACAGCTTTAAATTGTTGATAATATATTTAGAAACCTACGAGACACACGCAAACCGTGATAATGATATTTAATGTTTTACTCTTGAGAAACATATATGAAAAACCTGAAATAAGGAGATCCAATGTTTATTAGTAGGATATTGATTGTGTTTTTCGAATGATAAAGGGGAAATTTTGATTTCATTCATAAATTTTAGGCACAAATAAAATGTAAATCCAAAGTTAATCCATTCCTACATGTATCTTAATTTTATAAATAAATTAATTTCAATATACGCGTTTTTAATAATCTACCTATCTAATGATTTTTATCTTCAGTTAAGAGAAAAAACATTGACTTTGATATTATACATTGTACTCATTTTCATGGGAAGGGGAGTATATCATTTTGTGAGCTCATGCAGTGCGTAAAGTACCTCTAGTCTAAATCATATTTTATAGTTTTAGTATCAACGGTGACCCTAACCCCAACCCACATTACCATGGATACTGGTAAACAGATAACGCTAACCTGCCGGACAAATTACTGTCACCCAGCAGCCAACATCACGTGGTACAAGGCGTCAACCATTCTGGCCACGCCCACTACAGATACTACAGACACCAACAGTAATGGCTTTGTGAGAACTACATCAGTACTACAGTATACAGGTGTGGTAGAGGACAATAGTCAACAGGTGTACTGTAGAGCCAGCAACAGACCAGGGAAAAATGTGGAGTCCTACAAACGCATACTGAATATAAGATGTAAGTTTTTCAATGTAGTTTTGTATATACATCATTTGTTCATCTGTTAATTATGGTGATGAGTCTTAGAGACGATACACATTAACAAACTTTATGTTTAAAATATCAAAATTACCTATTCTTGAAACAAATTCAATTTTGCTTTAAAACACAACTTTAAATGAAATAGGAATGCATTACGTACATGTAATCACTTATTATGATTCTTTTTGATCTTGGTAGAAGAATAGCCGCAAAATGTGTTCAGAATCATATATTTCGAATTAAATACATGTAATTATGAAATTTTGTCAATTGATGATGACGTATGACATTATAAATTCACTCAATGATACACGAAAAATGATGCGCTTTGTTTATAAGCATTGTTTAACTTTCATTTTGATGAAATGTATTCGTATTGTCCTGCATTATTTTAAGTTCCCTCCAAGATCATATTCATCATGTCGCTTCTGATTCTGACCAAATGGCTTGCAAAATTTATACACATGTATGTTGTGATCAGTTAAATTCCATCCTGTGGAATTAATAACAAAGACTTCTTGTACATTTTACACATTAGGCGATGCAACGTTAACCAAATCATGCAGAAAATGTTTTCTCTTCACTTTATATAAACGCCTTTACTTTAAAACTCTTCAGCAATCACTTTGTTGGTCAATGCCTTGGATTTTTTCATTATGAACATTTTTGTCCACCATGCATCCATTTTCATACTACAAAGTAGGTTTTTATACGTTTGCTTGTTGATACTTATTTTTCATAGATCCCCCATCTACTAACCCTGTCACCACAGCCTCCCCTCCAGACCTACAGTACAACACAAGTACAGAAGTGACCTTGACCTGTCTACTACCAGGTGGAAACCCTGTAGCCACGTTGTCATGGAGATGTAAGAACACATTCATGACGGGAACCAATCAGAGTACTTCTACCACAGCTGTCTCTGTATTGTCATTGGTGATGGATAGCTCCTTCAACAATCAGCAGTGTACTTGTACAGCTACTCACAGACTCCTCACCAGTCCCAAATTAAGGAGTGTATCACTGACTGTATTTTGTAAGTCAACAATCGAATGATTTTTACTCAAAGAAAATTAATCATATTACATAAGTTACACTATATTACACATGCATGTAAATTATTTGAAAATTAGCGGGTAAGTTTATAAGCAATTAAACAATATTTTTTTAAAGTTTAATATGCGTGCATGAAATGGGCTGATAAAAGCCAAAATCCTCTGTGACAGGAACAGAGGAAAAGCACAACCCTATTGATTACAGAGAAGAGGAGATTCCAAAATAATGATAAAAAATCTTTTGGATTTGTTTTTCTACGATACACCTTACCTCAATTGCTTGTTAGCTTGTACTCCATTTTTTTTAATACGATAACGTCAATTTCGAATGATGCTCATGACTTGCTTCTTTTGCAGTATTATTATAAATTATAGAGTTTTTACTTGTGCATATGTGTTCTGTATCAACATTGTTTCTCGAATATAAGAAAAAAATGTCCCATATATTCAAATGAAATGAGTTTCATAAAAGATTAATAATTGAACCAATATTTATCATATGGATTCTCATGCATTTGACAATCAGTTGTGGTAAACAAGCGTATGTGTGCATGTGCTTATTGTTATAATATGAAAACTTGTTTTGAATTTTTGAATATGTTTGCTTGTTGATACTTAATTATTGCTATAGATCCCCCATCTACTGACCCTGTGATCACAGCCTCCCCTCCAGGACTTCAGTACAACACTGGGGCTAGAGTGACATTGACCTGTCAACTACCAGGAGGAAACCCTCCAGCAACGTTGTCATGGAGATGTAAAAACTTAGTTTTGATGGGAACCAACCATAGTACCTCTACCACAGCTGTCTCTGTGTTGTCATTAGTGATGGACAGATCCTACAACAATCAACCGTGTAGTTGTACAGTTAATCACAGTCTTTTTACCAACCCTAAATCAACGAATTTGTTACTGACTGTGTTTTGTAAGTAAAATATTGGTACATGTACATTGTAACAGAAATTATCAAAGGATGATAAATCTGATTTTAAAGTGATCAGTATGATAACTTACACCTTCTAACTTCAGTTAATTTTTTGCAAACAATTATTGTCGACATTTGATACATTAATTAGTTTTCGTCATTGTTTATATATCTTCAATTTTTTTTCTTGATAATATAACTTATAAACCAGTTTATGAAATACGAAGATTTCCTTTAACAAATGCTTACTAAAATTACACCCGTCCGTATCATTGCGGTAGGTCCCTGCTAGTAGAAATAATTGGTTAACAGTGCAAATTTTGCCCTGTTTTACATTAAGAAATACTTTATCTACTTCAAAAGCACAAAAAAGATAGATATTCTATATTTTTACTGAGAAAGGGTGTTAAACACTCATGTACCCTCTTGTACCAAAAACCAACTCACGACTGTTGAAAATACGGTCTACATTTTATGTCATTGCACATGGCAAATATATTCTTTTGAAATAAATCACAAGGGAAAATTAATAATGAATAATTTTAGTCTAAAGTACACATTGCTGGTTAAAGGTAAGAAAATATTGAAGAATTAATCTTATTTTACTAATGAAGTAACAAAGCTCAAAACTCAAATCTCATTAGAATAATTAACTTGCTTTCCCTGATTTTTTTGTCGTTGTTTATAGCAACCAATGCTTGAAGGCATAATAAATGTATTGGTCATCTGTCTTTTCACTGAGATATGGGGGAAAAACATACAATTACCCCATCGCAGTTCAATAGCTCAAGCCTTTTATGTCGACAAAGGTATTTATAAATCAGCTAAAAAGTGAAATATTCTTTTTAAGATTAATTTTGTCAAAATTTACACACAGCATAACAATTGTACACGAATAAAAACAATAAAAGTTTTATTTAATGACATAAGAGCAAATTCTTTGCCACGTTTTCTGTAGGTATCAGAAATATTGGAGTTGTACCTATGCAATCATAAACATATAGTATCAAAATAAACTCCTGGGCAAAATATACTGCATACTGTATAAATCTCAATCCTTGCACAAACATACCCTCAATTATCTTTATACACCCCATCCAACATTTCTGTAGACGTTTTTTACGTGTTTGCTAATGTGCCATAATTTTAAAACCAAAAATAGCTAAATCCGGCTTCCAGTTTCCCATGAGTAGGCCCCTATTTTAAGATGGGATTTCATCCTCCATTTTAAAAATAATAGGGTCACGCAACTTACTGTTCATGATTTTGTGGGTATTGTATAATTCCAGTAGATAGGTTAAAGAAATTGAATTTACACACTTTTGTTTGGTATTTCATCTGGCTAGGAGTAATGTGAAATATTAATATTGATAATTTGGTATTTTATGTAAATTGCATAAGTTGGATTCTGAAGTCAATCTGATCATTACCATGTATTTTAAGGATAATCAGAGTTAATGATTGTATAATTGAAAACAAACCCTGTATAACAGGCAATCTATAATATTCTTTTCAATTTAGCATGTGCTTGTAAAACACAATTCATAGGTAAACTTGATCATACGTAATATTTTTATTTTAATTACACTTTATCCGTTTATAGGTTATCATCAAGTGTTGATAAAGATGTAAATAGAACCAGTATTTTAAAAAAAAATCTCACCCAAATTATTTAAGATGTCCCCCAACATCCTTTACCACTTATTGTAAGAAAATTTACCAATATTAATGTAGAAGTTTAGTGGAATGACACCTATTATATCTAAGGTTCAGTCTAAAAAATAGAGTCACCGTTGACAAAGTAAAACAACAACCCCGTTCTTCAAATTCAAAATCTGAATTTTTATGCAAAGTTGTATCTAAATACCTAATTGGTTTGTAAAAGAAAGCGTTTCTTGTACGTAGAATTTTTAATGAAAATGTAGAAAAAAGATTTGAATTATTTTTAAAGATCCACCCTCCACTAGTCCTGTTATCACAGCCTCCCCTCAAGGGCTTCAATACGTCACAAGTACTAGAGTGACCTTGATCTGTCAACTTCCGGGAGGAAACCCCGTAGCTACTTTGTCATGGAGATGTAAAATCACAGGAATGATAGGAACCAATCAGAGTACCCCTACCACAGCTGTCTCTGTATTGTCATTGCTGATGGATAGTTCCTACAACAACCAGCAGTGTACGTGTACGGCTAACCACGGTCTACTTACTATCCCTAAATCAACCACTGTGTCACTGACCGTATTTTGTAAGTCAACTAGAGTCATTTCTTATATTATTTGGAAAAAAATAAATGTACATGATTATAGAATTTGATCATGTGACTTGCTTATATTTCTACCCCATTAGATGTTTTCAATTGATACAATATTCATTTTATTTAATGTTACAGAAATGTTTCGAAAATGCAGTATGTGAAATATTATATGAATGATTAAAGGCATAAACAAATCATAGACCAGTCAAGAGTTTTATGATAAACTGTGGGCTTATTGCATTGGAAAATGAAAAGAATTCGTATATTTATATTTCATTGTTTAGTTTTGTGTTTCTTAGATTTTTCTTTACTTTTAACTGGTAAGCAAGCAGAAGACAGGTTCTCTAAAATTTACCAACAGAAATGACAAATTGGCATTTGCATTGTTCAAACTACATGCATGTAGTATTTAAATAAATTAAGTTTTTTTTCTCGAAGAATTCAAAAAATCAGTTTGGAAAAAAATTAATTATTGTTAAGAAAACATAAGTTGATGAATCAAAAGTAAATTCAACATATAACATACTAAAATATTTCTTCAGAAAAAAGTTATTTACAAATCATCCTTACAAAAATAAGGTTGCCATTCATTTTATTAATATTCAAAACAAAGAACTCGTAACAGTAAAATTTATAAATCCAAATAATTTAAACGTGCTCTGAAGAAGATTATTTTTAATTATTTTAATTGCAAAAAATTAAAGCCGGTACATTGAGAATTATAAACACTTGTTAGTGTGGATTTACGTTTGGTAAAGACAGCTAAGTTGTTGTCAAAACATGGATTTAGAATATATAAGGATGATTTGGAGGAAAATCTTTTAAATTTCAAATAGGCCGTGTCACACTGTCGCGATTTATACTACGATTGCCCACGTATTAGAAAAAGTTAAAAATCACCGTTCATCGCCAGGTTAGTCTTGCGATTTTTACAAACCGTGTGGAATATTTTTCTGCTAGAACAGTGTGTCTACGATGCCTGTGCGACAAAGAACGAGGTTTGTACGATTTAATACGAACTGAGGCGACAGCGTTAAGAACTGGTTACGATATTTCTACGAATATGAAGGATTAAATGCGGTTATATACGATACTCGTAAGAAGGACTACGATATGTCACGTTACCTACGACTAATAGCGATTATACAAATGTATACATGTAATTAAATGCATTTCCAGTAAAAGGGGAGTTGTCTGAAATTATCAAACACCATAGTGAAGTTATTTGATAAGGGTGAAAGCTACAGTTTGGAGCTTTTGATTACGTTCAATCTCTTCATGAATTTATTGACAACGGTCTTTATAGTTTCTGTGACAAATGCATTTTCAGTTTATTTCACCTTTTTCCTTTTATTTTAGACGGTTATTTGATTGCGACTGTGTTAACATCAGACAAGGTCTGCCCACATCGTATCAACTCTTTGTTCAATCGCACAGTACTCGTACAGCACTTGCCACCAATCGCTCCTTTTCGTATCAATTCGCGGGAAAATCGTTCTATGTTCCTATCGATACGTAGAACAGTCGCAGTAACTCGAAGGACACACGCACAAACTCGAAGGACATTCGAAGTAACGCGTTGGACTCTCGTAGTGTCGCAAGTACGATTCATATTGCTAGTGGGATTCATTTTTTAATAATTTAATTCTGGTTGTAACGCTGTATTTGATTGGATAAAAAATTTACTTCATATCATATAAAATGGGTTGCCTACGTCATAATGACGTACGTTAAAAACGTATCAATCCGCCTGACGTTATATTCAAAATTTGTACAAATTGAAGTCTTTTTGTTAGAACAATCATCTTTTTTCTTACATCAAATGAATGAAAATCAAATTATAAGCAATGAATTAAATAGCTACCAATTTTATACGGTATAAACTGGGTTGGAACAGTTTACACTTTTTTATTAAGCGCTTCGCGGTTTATAAAGCGTAAACTGCCCCAACCCAGTTTATACCGTATAAAATGGGTAGCTATTAAATTCATTCCTTAATTAAAGACGGAATAACTTTTACTTCTTTTCAGATAACAATGTTATAATATCAAACTGGAATCAAACATATTCCGTCAAAGAGCATGAAAGTTTTCAACTAGTTTTTGAAGTGGATGGAAATCCGTCATCTAACATCACATGGGTGTTTGTTAGAAATAACAGCGTTATAGAAAAAGATTATTATGTGAAGAAAAGCTCATTGGAAATATCTTCAGTTAACTGCTTAGATTATGGAACCTACAGAATATTAGCAGACAACGGAAAAGGTCCAATTGCTAATAAAACTGCAAATTTATTAGTGAATTGTAAGTTTTTTAACTTTGATTTTGAGATTATGTAAAATAAAATTCTGTATCAGGTTGTGCGATGTATGGAAGGGAAATTCTTTTTTAAAAGACAAACAAAAAAATGCGACATTTTTATACGTATATGCATGCCAAATTGTTCGAAATATGCAGAAACATCTCCTTGAGAAGGATGAGACTAAAAGCTAAAAGGAATTAAAATAAGCAAAAAAGCAAGTATCAAAATGAATTGTAAAAGTTAAAATTCAAAGGTAAGCGTGTACTTGAGACATTGTGCTAAAATGATTTTAAAGTCATTTAAGCTAGGTAAGAATTAGCAATGAATTCATTATTTTACTAATAATTATGATGTACAACGATTGAACCAAAATTTTTGTTAATTATACATTGTGACTTCCTTTGTTACTCAGATATGTAGGTGAGTACAACTGCAAGGTTTCTGCTCTCTTATTGGTGAACGGATGTAAATGAAAAGATGAATTTTTAATCTCTGATTTTGTTTCTGGTGGGATTCAGGCTGTGCAAAATTTTTAAATTAACTTTTTTTTTTTTCAAAATAACATATTAACAAATTACATATTATTGAAACAAATTACTAAAGGACAAAAACGTTATTGAGGGCGATATTAAAAATTTCGGTGAAGGTCATTCTTCACACCCTGATTAATACAGTTGCTCCCCTGTTTGTTATCCCCTTCGAAATGCAGTAGTGAGGGAGGGTGTATGATGCTGTGTGACAGGGTGAATGTGTATGGGGGAGGTACTATAATGGTTTGCGCAACGAAAGTGACGTAATTTGCATCTTGCTCGATTTTGATGCTTTCTCGATTTATAGATCTGCAGTAATGCAAAAAATGCTCCCATTTGCGGTACCCTTAATTCACTTTTTGTCATACAGGTAAACCTCGGCTATTCTCAACGGATTCCCTGACTCCAGCTAAAATAGGTATTGGAAAAAATGAATCTCTTCAGATATTTGTGAGAATTTTATTGTTTCCACCAGCCATACAGACAACATGGTATTTCTCAAGAAAAGCAAATGACGAAAAAGTCATAACGGATTCTAAAGATGGATACAGAATATTTCACATGAATGGAGATGTTGAACAAAACATTACTCTCTACAAAGAAAGTGTGACTACTGAGGACTTTGGTAATTATACTCTTCGAGTTGAAAATGAAATTGGTGCCTTTAGCAGGATCTACAATGTGAATTCAACAAGTAAGTTAAATTTTCTGTGCATTTCCAGCAAGAAAAAATTGTGTAACTCAGATTTCATTTAAGAAAAAAGTATAGGAATTTCTTTGAATAAAAACTGTAGTTTTTAGTTGTTGTAAATGTTATGCAAAAAATATAGAGATAATATTTTTACAATGATTATACATTGTCAGCATCTCATGGAACCTTATAAAGCCTGCAGAAGAAGTCGAAAATATTCCGATGAAAGCTTTAGTATAAGTCGATAATGAAGAAAAAATAAAAATCTGACAATGAAGTACCAAACTGGCAAAGAGCAATCCCGAAGTATTAGTCTTTAGGGTCTTTTTTAATTGGCTTTTAATCAGTTTTACTTCCGTATTGCAAGAGAAACCTCTTGTGATTTAACCATTCCTACAAAAACTATTATTTCTAGATTATTTTCCGTTTTGTAACATTTTACTGAAGTATAAGTGTACTACTTACACTGTATATGTCAAGTACATGAACAATATTCCTGGCTGGGCATAGCAATCGGCATTTCTAAAGTCGTTCTTATTAATAAAAATATGTAAAAAGCAAAAATAAAAAGGTTCTATAAATCTTGTGATTTCAGTCATTTATTGATAGGAAAATGTGTTTTGTTTTAGCTATATTTTTGTTTTAATCAATAGGACCACCCTTATTGCCCACAAACTTTACAGTACTTTGTGAAAATTCCTTGTCAATAAAGATATCTTGGATTTCTAACTTTAATGGTGGAGATGAACAAAGCTTTCAAATTTCATACTCAACTGATGAATTTTTGACAAAGCCGTTTAAAGTTCTTAAACCGGGTATTGGAGATAAAGGATACAACAAGACCCACAGCTACATTCCTATTGTTGAGCTACAAGGCCCTCTATGGTTTGCAATAACTGCCTCCAACAAGTTTGGAAATGTTACATCAGATGTTATGTACTGTACTGCTGTTAAAAGTAAGTATTTACAGTTATTAGAGATAAGAGCAGGAATATTAATATTAATATAAGTATTTAAATTTGGCATGTATTTTGCTTAAAAATGTGAGGGAATTTATAAACTTCTAAACACCGTACAGCAGACAATCCCTAGCCTGGTTCCCTGTCCCTGTTATGCATTGTATACTCCGCGTCAATTGCCTTGGCAAGGATGAGACAGGGGACCAGGCTAAGACACACCCCTACTAATGTGTTTGGAACCTTTTATGTTTCGGTATTCTGCAAATTATAAAACTCGATGATTTCAGAGTAGCTCTGGCAGTGGCTCTGGCAAAATAGCAAGACTACAGCGAGATGGGGTAAATAATTCACGGAAATATGCTGGAAAGTGATTAGCACGTGAAAACATGGTAAACAGAATAGTTATGTTGCGTTTCAGTTTTGTAATTCAATCGATCTCTCTTGAATTCATTCAAACTAAATAAGTATTTTCTATGATACAATTTTCTGCAGTCATAAATTCAAATTTCTTTTTTCACGAATATTTTTGCATGGGAACCAGGACTATATTTTTTGACGTCAGATAAGCAAATGAGGCAACAACATGGCTTTAACGGAAAATCAGCTGAATGAGAATTGCATTATGGGTTACAAGGAATACTACACAAATTTTACTCTTGAAAGAAAGGGTAAATCTTATGGCAAGCGGAAAGGCACAAAGAAAATTTTTCTATCCATTTCGTAAATCCAAAGCATCCCCCTAAATTCTTTTATTTTCATGCTCACAAAGCCTAACAATTCAGTTGATAATTAAGAGACGGAAGTCTAGGTTTCTCAAAGCCATACTGCAAAGCTATTTGCGTCTGTATTAATTCCTCTGTTGATCATGAGAATAGTTATGTAAAAATGTTTTTTCCATTTTAATGCATAATAGATGATGCTCGTTTTCCTTACCCTTAAAGCGCTGGCGTTCTGAACTTGACACAAACTACATTATATTAAAATATTTTGTTCTAGTAAACAATAAATTAAAAACGCCCGTGACATCTTTCATAGTTTCTAATCTATGTATTTTGTTCATTATAACATTTTTTGGACTCCATTGATATTATCATGGATTGACCTGAACTTCGTGTTCAAAGTAAAATGTAAACGTTTTTGGCGTAAACATTCAACGATTGGTCAGTAGCTCATGATAAGATCCTCTGTGCGCATTTATTACGATAGCCATATAAGGCCAACAAAGCCATTCAGAATCGATGATATTGCACATTTTTTACCAGCGTATCGGTCGCTATTGAGCTCTAATTTTCGCCGTAAATTATGATAAGATATATTTTTATTTAACCCCACCCCCTCTTTAGTCATTCTTTTTCTGTTGAAAATCATGAAAGTCTTTCAGAAAGGTCTGGAAACACTTTTTTTTCAAAAGAAACAGACTATATCAATTTTCTGTTTACTGCCAATTTTTATTTATAAAACTGGTTCTGTCCTATAACCTTTAAATAGGTCAATCTCAACCATTTAAACCACGTATCTTGAATTTGAATCACAATAACAATAGTAGGGGTGAGTCAGGGAGTCCAAATGTTTAAGTATGCATTTTATTACCGTCTTACTTGGAAGACGGTATTTTATAGTTGAAGTTTTTTACAGTCTTCGGACTATGCACTTCCTCTCTTTTGTGTTTGGTAGAAATTGCATGATGAGAAAATTTTCAATTATTTCATTGGTTGAAATGCTGTTCAAGGCAAGGGAGATAACTTTCTGATGATCTAATTTTCGTACGACTTAACAATTTTGCAAGATTTCCAATCTTAAAAAAATGACAAAACGAACAACAAAATCAGCAGTAATTATTTCTAAATAACATGATATTTTTATAGCAATAAATAAAAAAGGTCTCTTTAATTTCATTATAAATAAAATTTGATAGTTATTGTTTGCAGGCTTTACAATTTGTTATTATTCTTTTCCGCTTTCTTGTTTGAAGAGTGAATGGGAATCAGCCGAGGTTTGCCGAAAGCTCTCGGCCAGTCAAAGTTTACGGAGATGACCGAGCGACAACCGTGGTAGGGCTAATGCCCGTAAAAGCTAATTTAGAAATACAAAATCAAGAAATTCAAAAGAATTATACGGCCTGTTAAGTGTAGATCTCTTTACTGTTTAAAATTGTTGCTAAAGACGGTAAGCTTTTTTTGAAAAGCTCTACTTGTATTGACGTTAGAAACGTTGAATGCCGTGAATGTGTAACATCATGAGCGAAAATCAAGATCCACCCTCATATAGAATAGAAGCTGTTGAAGTGACTCTTCCACTTGTTGGATAATTCAGGAATTATGAAAGATAAATAACATTTAAAGTCAAGGCAAGGAGTGTAAAGTAAAATATAACTTTGAACCATTTTCTTTTAAATGATGTAGTCTTAAAACTGAACCGGTATGTGAAAACAAACTTTCCCTAAATTTTTATTCTGTTTGCCTTTCTTTATTTAGGAATTCCTTCTCATTGGAAGACCTTCTTTAAAGTTATCAAAGTTTTGTTAATGCATTCTATCTCAAGGGGCTGTACTCTTGAAATTAACTCGTGGTGTGTACTCGCTTGATAAATGACTGTTATATTAATAAAATATTGAATAAGTGAAAAAAAAATGGGGGGAATAATTTTTATTGATGGGATAAAAATCTAAAATATTGAGATTTCGTTATCATTTTATGATGTAACAAAGAATTAAAACTGTATCTAATTATTTTCCGCATTTTTATGTTATTACTTAATATGAAATAAATATGTTCAAATGCGTTGCCTGAAATCCGATCGATTTAAAACAAAAAAGATTGTCATATGTTCAGATTGATTTATTTTATGGTGTTTTATGTCCCATTTGAGAATTTTTCACACATACAGAGACGTCACCATATACCGGTGAAGGGCTTGAATTTTACCTCAATTCGGCAATCAAGGTCATTGAGGAATGAGGGATCTTTATCGAGCCAACGCCTCCCGTAACGCAGGACCTTGCTTTTTAAGATCTTATCAGAAGGACCCATTACTTTCACTTCTAAGTGATGAGCGTATGGCGATGTCACAGTTGCTTCCAATTTTTTTTATCAACTTAGGTTAGTCACGACCTCCCGATCACTAAGCGAGAGCTCTACTCACTAAACTACCCTAAAACAGTCATCATATATTCAGATAAAATACTCAGTATAATAAATTTATATCTATAATTAAGCATTGATTTTCATATAAAATTTAGTGGATGTCTTCATCCTATAACACACCAGGCCGTGCCGACAAATCGATAATTTGTCGGCACGGCCAGGTGTGTTATAGGACCGAAGACATCCCAGAATATGAATTCAATGCTTATATTTACATTATCTATTTTTCCTTTGTCATAATTGTTTATCTTGTTCATGTTTAATGTGAATTTAGCGCCCTTCGGTATTGGTGTGCTTAAGAAACGTAATAGCCGTTCGTGACGTTGGAAAGTTAAATGACGTAAATAAACATTGCGAGGGGGGAAAAAAAGACAAATTAATTTTTAATGCACATTTGTTGAATTTTTATGTTAATTTTAAAAGGGTAGTCTGTTTAAATGAAATTGAGTCAAAACAATATACATTTTGGTGTTCCTAGATATTGAAAATGCATGTAGTTCCTACTGTGTATTCTTTCGCGCTGTGACAAGGTTTTGCGTATGTTATAGACATTTGAACGTCGTGAATTTCTAATGGATTTCATAAAGAAAATTACACTGAATGTAAATACAAGACTATGAATTGCAAAAATTAATGATACATAGCGTGAATAAGCATCTCAAGGGGTGACTGAGTCAGTTAAGGAACATAAATAAGCGTTCCTATTTTTATAAAAATGTGTTTATAAAACACTGATGCCCTTTTATTACAGTTTTGGCGTAGGTTTTTATCTTCCTTAAATGCAAATCAGACTCTGAGGTCAAGAGATAAAAAAATATATATAATACATAGAAAGGACTTGTCTAAATACATATACTTGTGAAATATAATAGACCAGACACTAACCATTTAACGTTATAGCTAGGTTAAAAGTTTTTTTTCTAATGTAGGCCAAACTCCAAGGTCAAGGTTAAAAGATCAATATTGTTGAAACTCAAAGGAAGTCCCAGTCACATGGGATCCAAATGTAAAATATGATGGCCCTAGTTTTAACTGTTCAAAAATAATGCCAAAAGTAATTTAAGGACAGACGAGACGTTCCTTAATAATAGATAAATTTTTGAAAGATTTTGTCATTGAAGTATTGCTACTTAAACATGTTTACACACAAAAAAAATGAGAAACCTTACCACGCATTTCTGCAAGATACCACGGGTAGTTTTCCTTAAATAATCTTTTTGGGAAGAAAAATAATTCTCCAATTTCAAATGTTTAAGTGTTTGGACTTTGTAAAAACGTTTAGAAACTGGTTTAGAAATCAGAATATTATTAAGATTTTGAATATTTTTCATACATTACGAAGATATACGAAACAGATATTAAGGAACGTCTCATCTGACCTTAAAACCTTTTTTTTTTTAAAATGGGTCATTACTCGATGGCCTTGTCAATTACACATGTGAAGTATGAAAGCTCTATAGATACGTGTGCAACAGTTAAAGAGTTATGGACAGTATTAAATGTCGGTAAATTCTAGAAAAATTTTGTCAAGATCACGAAGTCAAATATGTTGATACCCGATAAAAGATCTTGTCATCAAAATTAAACATTTAAAATATGAGAGCCACAGCTTCAACCAATCGAAAAGTATAGCCAGACGCACATTAACTTATCCCATAACTTCTTCGTGCTATGACTTGCATATTTTCTTTGGGTACCACCAAATTTGCCTTTTGACCTTAAAGTTTAATCCACAAAAAAATTTAATATTATAACACTCTATTCTTATGAAAAGTTTGTATTAGGGCTTTCAATCTTTACCTTTTTTATTCATTGTGATTAGAACATTTCAAAAGGTGTAAATATTTTTTTACTTTGACCCATTTTAAAAACTTTAACCTGAGTCAAAACCTTTGAGCAGTTTGAAATAAAGCTTTCATATTTCTCAGATATATTCAATGTGTGATACTTTCCTTTGAATACCAACAATTTTGACAATCAGAGCTTGACTTTTGGTGATTTACTTGCATTTGAGAAATTTATCGTCGCCATAATCTTCCATATCGGGAAATCAGTGTTTCAAAAACATGTTTTGTCATAATTTCTAAAAGTCAATTCTTTTCTTATCTTTCACTAGAAATGGTAAATCTCCGGGCATGTATCTTCATCAATAATATCATATTTTTGTAGGTCAAGTTCCAGATTCAAATATACCTGTAGGGGGCATTATCGGTGGCACGATGGGTGGAGTTATTTCTGTTGTGCTCGTTGTATGTGTTATATTTTTTAACAGAAAATATCAGATTAAATGTGTTGGTAAGTTTATCTAATTAATCAATAAATATTTTAATTTTAAATAATCTATTTCTTCCTTTCATTTCTTTGATTTTTTTCTATTATTTTGTTTCAGAAAGAGATTCTAACCTGAGGTAAGGAAAAGCAAGAAAGAACACCTAGATAGAATATTTTGTAGTAGACCCCACTAAAAGTATTATTAAAGGTACCGTGACGCAATATGTGCCCGCACCATAAAATCATTAATATGTATCCGTAAGTGTTGAGAACAGCTCTAAATGTACAGCTCTACCTCGACAGTGATGGCGTCACAATACGAATAAAATAAAGCAATTAAGTATATACACTAAGAAAAATTTCTTATCCCCCACAGAGAAGAGTTACGCTGGTATATTTCAATATTTCTTTCATAATGTAACATAAATTTTAGTTGTGTAAAGTGTTTAAACACACTCTTAAAAGTTCACAGAAACTTTGAGGCGAGAATTCTGAATACATGCTATATATATATAATTTTTTTTTTCGGAAAAAGTCTACTGAACAGTACAGTTGCATTTTTGCACTTTTTACCATATTATTTGGCTTGGAAAAACATCTAATTGTTTAACGAAACAAATATCACCTCTAAATTGAGGAAAACACCCAATTCAGCAAATATATTTGAATTTTGGGAGAAAATAGTTTGTTATTCTCCTTAAATGTTCCCTGTCAGATGCACCTTCATAATATGTTTGGATCACAATATGGCTTGACAAATGTTAATAAAAATACATGTAGTAGGAATAGAATTAACGACTAGAATGACAAAGGCTAATCGTATGGTCGTGGTGACCTCTCAAAAAATCATAGAACGTGTTCTGCGAAATGTAATCAGAATGTTTTGTCTGAATATTATTTTAATTTATTTTATTTTACAGTGGAGGAAAAACGATTGAATCAAAAAATGTCTCAGAAAGCCTAGGTGAGAAACATTTCATTGCTTCTCAATTTTTAATTTGAATTAGGCAACTTCATTAATTTTTCTTTATTACCTTTTAATTTTAGGTCTTCGAACGGAAATGAGGTATTGTATTGGTCAGAGTAAAATACGAATTAGAAGGAAGATGCAAAATTTTCTACATACGTGTAGATAAGTGCGAAAAATTACATTTAATAATGTAATCATTTCAAAACAAAACGTCTAAATTTTGTGTCATCTTTGTTCCAATTTGATAAAATTAAACTACTGCACAAACTTTCTTTTCAGATTAAAAATTATTGTGATAACTTATATGTAATAATCTGTGGTTCGCACAAAATGTAATTATTTCAAAAGAAAACTTCGATATCTTTTAAATTGGTCATAATTATTCGACCCCTTTTCAAATAAAAAAAATATTGTAAAAAAAAATTATGATTGCCAAGGTAACAAAATATTACCTAAAGCAGTAGTGAATATCGAAATTATTTATTAAGCGTCCAGTATGAAGAGCTAAAAAAGAATAACCTGAATCAGGAAAACAGCTATGACGTTATCAATTCACAAAATAGTGAGTACAATTACAACTTTATACCACTAGATATCAAGTCTGAAATCATTAAAATCATTCATATTATATACATAATTTGTTAAGGAATTCTTATTACCCTTATCTTGTTTTTTTTCTAGAGAACAGAACATCCGGGTAAGTGGTTGCTCTCATCAAGTTTGATATTGATTTAAAACGAATTAACCCAAAACACCAAAACATTCACGTAAGAAATTTCAGGTCGAGACAATTTAATGAATTAGATACTCTTTTTTGGACGATACAGTGCCACATATGAAGAGTTGCCACCTCAAAAAGAAGAAAGTAAGTATGGAGAATTTACAGGTTCTAAGGGTATGGCTAGAAAATGTTAATTACAATATTAAAAGAACATATAATGTAACTTCTTTAAAATATAATCTATTTACTTCAGTTGAATAATAATTTGAAAGAATGACTTATGAAAAGGAAAAAAATGTGTGTTAACATGCCATTTTGAAGTTTTGAAGATAATTTTTATAAGTACGAAAGGTTGGAAGGTTTACTCGACATTCATAATTCAAATTTCAAGATTCATTATCTAAAACCAATAAAATTTCCATATATAATACATGTGTTAAAAAGTCGACAAAAATGAACAAAAGTTAAAAATGTTGCGATTTTGTGAACAGGGCATTTACCGGATATCTGAAGCTTTGATTTACGTCCTTTCTTGTTCATGATACAAGTATATCAAAGTCTTGTTCTAAACTCAGCATTTTGCATATTCTATTTCGATATAATGACTTTTAAGCATTTAGCATCTACAACATATCCTAATAATGAATGTTTACTGTTGATTTTTATACAGGCCATCATTATCACACTGAATGTTATCAGTGTTTAATTCTGTTTGATTTAATCTCTTAACAAGGAACACACAGCGGGAATAAAGTGGTCAATAGGGGATGTACACTCATTCATTGCATCTAATCCAACCCCGAACGGTTTAAGTGGGCCGTGTTTAATTGTTATCGATTTGTATTGTTTCAATGGTCTCTTGAGTCCAATTCGTTTCCTGTATATTTCATTGATATCTTTCTTCTTGAAAATTTTTCAAGTCAATTTTTGTCAAGGGCCTTATCACATAATTTATATGCTAATATTTGTAATGATTTGTTAATGAAAGTGAATAGCGTAGTAGGCTCCAAACAAAGAAAATTACATTCAGCATTTTATAAAATGAAAATTCTGTAAAATTCATGAATATTTTTTTAAAGAAAACATTTCATACATATTGTACTTTAATAAATGTGAATCATTTAAATTGCAGGTGAAAAAGAGTCCCCTTACTCGAAGTCGAAGGTATTGTCCCCAGCACACGTATATGTAAATATGTCATTCAAAGGAAAATGAGAGCTAGGTTTATACGAAATCTTTTGTTTATTATTGTTGTTTTTATTCTAGATAATCTCGAATCAGTTTTAGGAATGTGACTGCATGCACGATAAAACAAAAAAAACTTTTGAAGAATGTTTTGTACCGAATTATTCTAGTGAATTATGTGCTGCATGGTTTTATGTATATAAGCTGCATTCTCCCTATAGTCATGCATGTTTATTTCAGTATTTTGTTTAACTATTTTAGTGCTGATTTATGTTTACAGTAACTTTGCAGAAGCATCTATAGTAATCTTAATATTAATTAAACATTTTAGCATAATTATTGAGCAATCAAGTAAAAATTTTTCTGTTTTATTTTCTTTAGTGTTTTGTGTAATTGAATGAAATGTTTAACATCAAGGTGCCTCAATAAAGTGCACTAGCACAAGGGAAAACATTAAACAGATCTTGTTGTTATACCTTTTAAATATGTTCCTATACAAATCTATACAAAAAAGTCTAACACATCTAATGTATTTTTCATCGGGCATAAAAAAAAATCGATGTTGGACCGCTGAATGAGATGTTGGACCGGTCGGTGAGATGTTGGACCGCTTATGTCACAGAATGGGTGGAGCTTAATCTCATTTTTCTTTGTTGGTGTTCAACAGTGACGGACCACTCAGATGTAATATCACGGAAGACAATATAAAAAAACATGTATGTCCGAAAAATAATAATAAAATAAACGTACATGTATATCAAAACATTTATTGACTGAGTTTTCCCGCAATATGCGTTTTATGGACCCTCGGTCTATCGGCCTAAGGCAGACATTTTGGTTCTTGAGTGTTGCCCTCGAACTCAGTCAATAAATGTATAATATTTTTAAGATAGGCAGAACACATATTCCTTGATTACAAAAGTACCGCTGCTTTCTTAAAATCAAGAGCTTGACGTAATAAGTACATGAAAGTGTTACTTTATAAAGTTTCTTTATTTATATATAAATATTGGTTTTCAAACGCTCTTGGTCGTAAAATGAAAATGTTTATTCACTGATAAGTATATACATCATTAAAACACATAAAATCTTAAGTGATTTTAATTCTAATATTAAGTACACATACAAAAGAAAAAGCAATTACAGCAATTTTTTAAATCAAAGAAACCTTTTTAAACTGAACTCCGGGAAATAATTACGTCGAAATCATTTTCATGCCCAAAATCTTTATATATGTTTCCTGACTGCCTTCTAAAATAAAAAAAATACAAAAGAATTTGAAGAACAGCCCAACATCAGCCCAATGACAGCTTAGTGTATTATTTATTTGCTTATATAAATATATTTGAAAAGCTAGACATTAAGAAGTTTTGAATGATTAGCTAAGGTGGAAATAATTACGATAGCTGCTAATATTGCAGACATAGTCTTTTAGAAAGTAACAAATATTTTGAGAGACCTTTTTTCCGATATTGCCAATTTTTATGATAAAGTATTGTAATTGGTATAAGAGGTCCAAGAACGATATACAGATAATTAATATACAGCTATTTGAACAACAACCTTATTCTGTGAATATTTTTTTTTTCATTATTTCATTGTTAATAAAAAACCGTAAAGACTCGCCACTATAATAGAAGAAATCCACACCCAAAGTGACATGTGCACAACCTTTGTGTACGTAAAAGGTATGCTTGTAATGCGGCTTACAAATGTAAATATATCGAATGAGTGCAATCACTAGAAGGTGTAAATTAGAGGACGCGTATGTAAATAACGAAATTCGATGAAAATAAAGAAATAGTATAATGAATGATAAAAATATGCAAAAGTGAAAATGAAAGTCAAAATCAGAAGCAAGAATACCAACAGTCTCGTTTAAAGTCATCATGTCTTAAGTTCTATGATCGATTTAATGACCATGCCAGCAAATACAATTTATCATTTAGTCAAATGCTGACTGTCGTTTTTCATACTGATTGTTAGGCCATTATTTTATTTACACGAGTCGTCCACGAATTTTTCCATTATTTCCCGAGCATGACAAGGAGAATATGGCGGATATGATTGGTTGGCAGGAGATGCTCACTCCTCCATATCACTTGATCCCAACTCTGATGTTTTGGAGGTTCATGTTTGCTCTGAATCAATTTTGCAATGTTTAATGGAATGTTGAGCTTGGATACTGTTCGTTATGTCTATATTTTATTTCTACAATTCTATTGCATTATACAAAGTTATTTTCCTGATTCTTCAATATGTTCTTCAAAACATTAAATTTAGATTATACCTCATAAAATCATAAAAGCTGCAAAGACAGAAATGCTCGATATTGACTCAATGAGAAACACCCATTTTAAGCACAAGCCTCATCATATAGCCTTGCATTGCATGGTATAACATGAATAATACAAAGCTTTACCGATTTACGACGATTTTCAACAAGCAAACATTCTAAAATATTAATGTTAGAAATATTATTACATGTATATACTAGCTAGTAATCTGGGACTTTGTAAAATTAATAATGTGAATATTTATTTGTGATTTTATCATTTATTGTGTCTGTTTTTGTTCTTTCAAACATACTCATTAAATGCATTAATTTATGCTAAAAAAAGTTAAATAAATGCATTATCATAATGACAGGAATGACTTAAAGTGAAGCTGAAAATAATAATCAATAAAACAAGAAATTATAAAAAAAAATCAATTTGAAAATTAGTTTCAATTCCATTTCACATATTTCCAATTAAGTACATTTTTTATGCTTTGGAATATACTAAATAGAAAATCTAAAATAAACCAACGCATGGTTCTTTGTCAATGCTACAAGATAGATTTTTAGAGTTTTGTTTTTTTATTGACAAGCATCGAACGTTTCATATTTTACAAAGAAATAATTAGAGTAAAGTAATACCTTGTCAATTCAATAAAGCTTATCAAAATAAATGCTCTCCGAAAACATCAATTTCTTAAACAGTTACATGTTAACAATCCAGAGATATGTTTTCTGACTACTTTCGAAAAAATAAAGTAAACAAAATAATTCGAACTGCAGCCCATCATGAGGCTAACGACAGAAAAATACTCAAATATACTGCTTGTTCTTACATAATTGATATACAAGGCATAAACAACAACTGTTGGAATTTAGGTCACAGTCGATATTAGGATTATGGCTGCTAGCATTGCAGACATGGTTGTTTGGAAAGTAGTTGAAGTTTTTGTCAGGCCTTTCCTGATATTTACAATATCAATAATTTGAAGTATAACAATCGGTATTAGAGATCCAAGAAACGACAAACAAAGATATATAATGTCCACAATTAAGCCGCTTGAATAAGACAACAAATTTTCATTAACCATAAACAGATGCACGGTGTATAAAACTGCAACAATAATGGAGGTTAACCATACCACCAAAGACATATATACAACCTTAGTATACGTAAAGGTCAGGCTATAAAACGGTTTGCTGATGTAGATGTAACGGATGACTGCAATAATGAGGATGTGAAAGTTAGATGACAAAACTGCAATTGCCGTAATTCCAGAGAAATACTTAAATGAAGTAATCAACAAAATATATCTGGGAATATCTCGAAATGTCTCAAAATCAGGTTGAACACATCAGCAACAGAGGAACAAAATATTCCCGTATACGTTGGTATTTTAAGCTTTTTTTTGAAAGATAAATAAACAAATAATTGCTAGGTTTCCTACAGTTCCAATAATACAAAAAGTAGCTGCAAATACTTTAACAATATTGAACTGGTCCATAGAATATTCTTCGGTAGAGTTTGAAA